TACTAACCAGTCTTTAACCCTAATTTTAACAAACTAAAATTTTAAAAAATTATATAAATATAGCTTTAGGGGAGTTACAAAAATAAGGTAATTTTTTAAAGAAGGGAAAGGATAAAAAAAGTTGAAATTATATATTAAAAAAGAGGGAGAGAGGTAGGCCTCTGATAAAAAATAATCAGATGATTAATGACATGGCCCTTAGCTATCATCTATATTTGGTAATATCTGAAACTGAACTATATTAATACTAGATGTTAAAAATATTGTTTTTAACTCTATATAATTATTATGCTTTTGTAGAATTTATTCAATTATAGTATAGTCGATACTATCTAAATGCATATACTGTTCAATTGTATACTATTTTCATTTCCTAACTTTGTTACTAATTATAAATGTATAATTCTCTATTTGTATAATATATAAAGAATTTTATTTGTTTATTAATAAAATACAACTTATTTGTATAAAAATGTTTAAAAAAATTAACTTTAAATATAAATAACTCTTGATTTAGTTATTTTTTTATATAATTTAACTATCAAAATGATCAGCTTACTGAGACAATTCTAATAAGCCTAAAATAGTTAAAATCCAATTACAGAATCATAAAATTGTTAATAATTTATATTAATCAAAATTTGTATATATTTATTAAATATAAAGTATACAAATTGTTAATGATATTGTGATACTGCAATTATATTTTAAAAGATTTTGAAAAGCTGGTCATTTTGATAGTTAAATTATCCAAAATAGACTACTGAATCAAAAACTATTCATGTTTAAAGACCAATTATTATTAAATTTTATTAATTATAATTAGTTAATTAATATATTATATGATTTATTATAACTGTCTAATTGCATATACTGTTATATACATAAAAAAGTTTCTAACAGATAGTATGCAATTAGATAGTATCAACTATACCTTATAATTTTTTATTTACTATAGTGCAGACAGCCTAGTCCCAACTAATAAAATTGATAATATTCAAATTGCTAATCCTTCTACAAAAAAATAGAATGTTAAATTAAGACAAGCTAAACACTTTTATGTTCTTAAATTTTTTGAATCTATTTATAACAACGTTATAGCAAATTGAAATTATAGTATTTTTTTTTTTAGAACGCCCTTATTACTGGCAGTTAAACTTTATTAATTTTATATCATTATTACAATGTTATACAATTACGTTTTTCCAAACCAATACTCAGACTACTTTATCTGTAAAAGAAGTTCTACCTATAACATTGTCACCCGTAAGTTACAATTTCAGGATTTTTATGCTTCAGAACCTTACTTTATTCATCTAACCCTGCATTCTCTGCATCTCTCATACTGGTCTTAGTAACTTCCAAATAGGTAATCAGAGATCATCTGCCGCATTCGTAATATCGTTGTTAGATTTACTTTCTGTTTTGTGGCTTAGGAAGTCCTACCGGTTTTCGAGCACATCATTACTAATAATGTTCAAACCTCCTTAATATTATTTCCATAACAGTCCAACCAACTTTTTTCAACTACTTAAACTCGATACTTGAAATTGAAATGAGTACTTTTTTAATTAACGCCTTTCAGGTAACAGTATGCACACTATCTATCCTATAAGGAAACTCCTGTATGTTAGTTAGGTATGAGCTATGTTGCATAACTATAGTTACTCCCAACTAGGTTCATAGTACTAAGCCTACTTCCAATTTTTGTCTGAATTAATTGGTATTTAATGTTGGTATGCTCTTGCAATGCTATTATACCTTGTTTGTATTTCTACTACTAGCCTGGTGCTTCTATTTTTACATGTCTCCAAGTATAGTGGCTTCTCCTCTCTGCATTTGTAAATTCCTATTTGGGTTCTTCTGCATGTGCCAGAGGTGTTCCTAGCTAATAACCATTTTTCTGAGCCTTACTTGTGTTCACCGCTTCTCTTACCAAATACATGATGCCTACTTTTTTCCACAAAAGACCGCTAATCAAAAACTTTTTATCCAAACTAGTATTCATGTGGACTTATACTAAGTATAGGACAAATATTTACAAAATTTTACCTTTGCTAGGATTTGAACCAGAAACCTCTAGTGTCAGAGTAGGCGCCTAGACCACTAGGCTACAGCAGTGTCTGAAATTGGGTTGCGAAGTTTGCAAACCACAACAAAATTTTAAATTTCCGCAACCAAAATCAAAAGTGCATGTGCACATTCCGCACATAAATTTGCAAGTTTTACTTATAAATTTTGATTAAATGCTTATAAGTGCAACTAAATTTTTATAAATTTTTATAAACTGCAACTATTTTTTTTATTTAGTTGTAGCCCACAACTAATTTAAAAATTGAATTTCAGACACTGGGCTACGGGACCACACCCAAATTATAGTATTTTTATATTTAAGAGTAGGGTGTATATAGATCATTTATTATATAATTTTAGTAGTACAATGAGATTTATAGTCATAGGACATGTCCCTTTAAAATAGTCTTTAAATAAGTTTATAATAAAATTATAATAAAAACATATGAATTTACTATAAACTTTGAGCTAAAGTTCCTTTTTAGTTTAACTAATTAATTTAAAATTAAATTTTACAAACATATAGAACAAGAAAAAAAAATTTGAGCTTAAAAACTATATTGAAATTTTGTTAATTTTGCACTTTTTTAAAATGTAACTTCACCAAAAACAAAATTTTACTAATTTTAAATTAGCAATATATGTAAATTTGTGCTCTAAACAACTTTATTTTGTAAGAAAAATAGGTTATCTATATGCTAAAGTTGAAATTTTTCAGTTTGTAATATAAAATCTCTTTTGTTATTAAGATAACCTGCTTTGGCCTTTAGGTAAACTTATTTAGAGGTATTTTTACTTAAGGATAGAAATTATATAGTCATCAGTCGACTAGTTGACTATTTGTTGACTAATTGACTAAATTTTCTTATAGTCAATTGATCGATTAGTCCAGTGTTGGGAAATTGGACAATTTTGGTTTTTGGACACAGTATCCAAAATCTGTCCAAAACTTGTCCAAAACCAAAACTAAATTTGATTGGTTTTGGACAATTATTTTATATATAATAATTTTTATTAGCCAATCAAATATTTTCTAATATAATTATACTATTTGCTTAAATAATATTCAGAAAGAGAGTATAGTTTAAAATTTTGGTTTATATTAAGCTTAATTCTGCAAAATTTTAACAACATTCTAGATATTATTTCAATATTTAAATCAATATCTTTTAATATAATATCTAATGTTTTTATAATATAGAAAATAATCAAAACATGCTTTAGTGAAACTAAAAAATTGCTATATAAAAATTGTAATATTGGGTAGAGTTAATAGAAATAGGACAAATTTATTAAAAAAAATTGGTTATTTCTATTGACTTTCTCTAGATGTTATTTGTAAAAGCTTAGCATAATAATTATATTAGACATTAATATATATAATTATTTTAATCAATAATACTTAGTATTACTATTAATTTTTTATTAATTTTTTAATTTCATTATAATATGTTTTGATTAATAATACCCTATATATATTATCTAAGATTTTATAATATATAAATATAAAACTTAAGATTAATCTTTATTATTTATTTAAGTACAAAAATATAAATATTATATATTTTACTAATTTTAAAAAATTTGATCAATTTTGGACAATTTTGGACAGTTTTGGACAGTTCTGGACATGTCCAAAACTGTCCAATCAAAAATTTTAATTGGACATGTCCAATTCCCAACACTGGATTAGTCAATTAGTCGGTTAGTCAACTAGTCGATTAGTTAATTAGTTGATTAGTTGATTAGTTGACTAGTCAATTAGTCGATTAGTCGATTAGTTAATTAGTCAATTAGTTGATTAGTTGACTAGTTAGCTAGTTGATTTAGAGGTCTGACTTATTCAAAAAATAAGTATCTGAATATTTTTTCATTTAATTTTTTAGTATTCGAATATTTGTTCAAAAATTTTGAATAAATATTCAAATAGTCGCTGAATATTTATTGAATATTAAATATATTTCAATTTTAAAAATTATATAACTATCTTACTTAAATTAGCTAATTAAATTGCAAATAAGTTATTAAAAAATAAAATAAAATTATAAAATTATATATATATACACATTCAACAAATATTCAATGAATATATTTAGTAAAATTTTAAATATTCGAATATTCATTTAGTGAAAAAATGATATATTTGAATATTCGAATATATTATTCTTTGAGTCAAACCTCTAAGTTAATTAGTCAATTTGTCGATTAGTTAATTAGTCGATTGGTTGACTAGTCGATTATATTAATTATCTATTTTATAATTTCATTGCTATACTATATTTGTACATAATAGCAAGCTGAGGCGTTAATTCAGATTTTAACTTTTCAAAAAATTTAGCTATTTTGCTCAAAATAGCACCCATGCACATCCTGAAATAATTCACATCTCTTTTATTTAATTAATGTTTTAAAATGTAATAAAAGATTCAAAATTCAAATGCTAAATTCAACTCAATCATGACAAAAACAAAAAATTATTTTTACTAGAAACGTAGTATGAAATAAAGATAGAAATCGATTTAGTTGACTAAAAAATTTATATATAAATTACTATATTTAGTCAATTTAGTCGACTAGATCATATAGCTAATTCCTATTCTAGTACGAAGTACGTAGAGCATAGTTTGTATTCAAGTTTTGTGTTTGTTCAAAATTCTTGATTCTAATTGGATATAGAAATCGAATGATGCCATTAGTGGCGTACCATTTATTATGTAATAAAATCTTATTAATAGCTGCCACCCTTCATGTATGGTGTGATCTTAATGCTAATTGGTCAATTTAATTATTTTATTGGATCCGTTCACGTGATTAATAATCGGCCAATCAACTGTAGAGATCACTTCGAACACTAACAATTAATGTTCCAAGTTGGTAAATATTAAGATAACAAGAAGAAAGAAAAAATTAATTTTTTTTGATAATAAGTCCGGTTAACTCAGTGGTAGAGTGTTTCCTTTTTAAGGAGAAAGTCAGAGGTTCAAGCCCTCCACTGGACACCAGAAGTGGGGGTAGCCCAACTGGTAGAGGTGCCAGACTTAGGATCTGTAGGTTGAGTTTTGTGCAATCGATTAGTAGTTGCAATTAGTTGATATTAAATTGTTAAAGATTCACGATTATCATCTATTCGAAGAATAAAATTTAGATGCATAAACATGTTACTAACAGGCTTACATGGTTTGAAATAGAAGTAGAGATTCGCATAGTTTACTGTTCAATGATTCTGTGTTTCTCTTAATAAAATCAAGTGGGTCTCGCATTTCGAAATTACTAATACTGCAGTGATTAGTTGAAAAGTTGCCAACTAGCTGATTTTTCAACTAATGATTTGGAACTTTAATGGTGTCCATTTTTCTACTGTAGTTTATTAATATCTAATAAAAAAACTGATAATACCGCTATATTACAGTATATACTACAGCAACTTGAGCCTAAATTAAGAACCCTATATAATGTATATACTAAAATGAACCCGAATCTAATAAAGTATAGTTGTCACACCGAACCCATATTTCCACTTTAAAACTTATCGCTTTTTTTTATAAATTTATTATAAAATGTGCGTTATATCGTAATCTCCCAGTGGAATGTTTTTTTTTAAGCTTTTATAAATTAAAATTTATCAATACAGCAACAACCAACATTAACCCTTGTAATACAGCATGACTAGTAGTATTGCTAGGGTTAATGCTAGTCATTGCTATATCAATATGACGATATTGGTACAATTCCCAAAAATAAAATATAGTATGAATAAAGCCAATAAAATACTTGGGAATTCAAACCAATAAGTTATTCTATGAATAACTATGAACTACATACACCTCGACTAAACGTCCATATTACACGTTTAACTACGCCAACCAGCCCCTATTGACTTCCATTTTAGTATGAATTATTTAATCGGGGAATAATACAGATAAGGGAATTATTTACAATTTCGAAAATTATAATTTTTAATTTATTACAATGAATATGAGCACCATGAATAGGACTGTGCTTGGAATCCCAGTAAGTATTAACTATATTTTAAAGATTTGGGGCAAATAGTAGAAGATTAGTTAAAACAGTTATAAGATACTAAAACGATGCATGAATAAAACTTTTCTTGGTAAACTAGTAATAGCGTTGGGTTTAAATTTGTAATTCCGTATTAGCTTATCTTGCATTTGATCTTGTTTTTAAAAATTTGTGGCAAAATAATGGATAGAGCAAGAAAAATGATTGAATAAAACTTATCTAGTAATCAAAGATGTCAGGCTAGTAATATTGTTGTTTAAAATGTAATCACTTCATTTGGCGTTTGGTTGTGCTGCTTATATGTGAAAATATTAAACGATCAGTATAAAAGCGACCCAAAAAAAAGTACTAAATTACTTACCACACTTGCGGGTTTTAGATTATCATAAAAAAAATATACAAAGTTTTTTAAAGGCTTCTAAGTTTGATACCCAATTTTTTTATAAACCACCCACTGACTTTTATCAAGAGTTTTGTAATGCCTATGCTTATTATGCACAGGCAGCTCTTTGTAATATCGCCCTAAACAAACAAAAGTTATTAGACAATGCACGAGCAGAGTGGAAAAAAATTCGGGGCAGAATGAAACCATCATTCGTGAGAAAATACGAGCATATTTAGCTACTGAACCTCATATAATCCGTTCATATCAACGAATAATGAGACCACCATCAACTAATTCTGTTCAAACCTTGCTTATTTCAATGCCAAGTCTGTTACGAACATCTATTAATAGAAGCATTACGCCAAAGAATGCCAGAGCGCAAAACGATGCAATTGAAAAGATCAAAGAGGCAACCCAACTAGAGCTTCAAATTTATATTCGTTATTTGAATAATATTCGTATTCGGCAAATATTCGAATAAAGTTTCTAAATATTTATTCGATGAATAATTCGAATAATTAATTATATTCGAATAATTAATTATATTCGAATAATTCGAATAATCTATTGTATTCGAACAATCCATCATATTTGAATTATTCGAATAATTCATCATATTCGAATAATTTATTATATTCGAATAATTCATTATATTCGAATAAGTATCAATGTTGTTCTTTTTACTAGCATATCTCATTTCTGTTAAATCTTTGATAATAAATGAATGAAAGTCTTATGCTTGTCCTTCAACTCCAGTTCCATTAAGATAAAAAATAACAAGCGCAAATATTCCACTAACATTCCAACAGGGCCACGTAAAAATTTGGATATTATTTATAGAAATTTGTAAATCATATAAATAATATCCAAATTTTTACGTGGCCCTGCATTCCAATTACTGCTGATATTCGATGATAATACCATAACGCATGAATTATTTGAATCATAGGATCGACTTTATCATGTAAGCAAAAATGGAGAATGTCTTGCATCAGATTAAAATTTGCGTCAGATACAGGATTAGAGTGGGCGTCTACGTTAGGTTAAAGGTAGTTAATAATTGTTTTGATTGTTTCTTATTTACCGAAAATTGTTCTAATGTGTCTAGAATTGATACAGATTACACATTTCTTTAACGATTTCGTTAAGAAATCCCAACTCCTATATTCTATAATGTCTCACGTCTCTGCTGGTTTTTGATAATAAATGAAAGCCTTATGTTCGTCCTTTTCGATTCCAATCCCATGACAATAACAGTATCCAACACTATTTATTCCACTAGCGTTCCTTATTTCTGAAAATTTTTGATAGCAAATGAAAGCCTTATGTTTATCCTTTTCAACTCCAACTCCATAATGTTCTACTAGCGTTCTCCATCTATGCAGATTTTTGATAATAAATGAAAACAATATCCAACTCCATTTATTCCACTAGCTCCAGGTTTTTGATGATAATGAAAACCTTACGTTCATCCTTTTCAACTCCAATCCCATTAACAATTTCAAACATTAAGTATTCCATCGACGTCACCCGTCTCAGCAGATTTTTGACAAGAAATGAATACCACATGTTCATCTTTTTCAACTCCAATTAGCGCTACACATCCCTACGGAATTCTAACCCAAATTCTATGACGTTAGCACACTCCATCTCTGCTGATTTTTGATAACGAATGAATATCTTATGTCCATCCTTTCAACTCCAATCCATTAACAGTTTTCAACATTAAATGTTCATCATCCCGGTAGATTTTTGACAGGAAATGAGTGCCATATGTTCATCCTTTTCAACTCCAAGTTCCATTCCGGTAACAATTTCTGACAATCAGTGTTACCCATCTCCGCGGATTTCTATTAATAAACGATGCCTTATGTCCATCATTTTCAACTTCAATTCCATTAAGTTAACATTAAATGTTCCATTAGCATTACCTATCTCAGCAGATTTTTAACAGTAAATGAATGTCACATAATCATCTTTTTCAATTCCAATTCCATTTCGTAACAATTTCCAACAATCAATGTTACCATCTCTGCAAATTTCTGTTAATAAATAATGCCCTATATTCGTCCTTTTCAGCCCGAATTCCATGTTGATAACCCACTCCATCTCTGTCGATTTTTGATAATGAATGAATGACTTGTGTTCATCCTTTTCAACTTCAATTCGATTTTGATAACAATATCAAACCCGGAATGTTCCATCAGCGTCACTCATCTCCGCGGATTTTTGACAGAAATGAATGCCATATGTTCATCCTTTTCAATCCAAATTCCATTCCGGTAACAATTTCTAACCACCATATCTACAGATTTCTGTTAATAAATGATGTCTTATTTTCGTCTTTTTCAACCAAATTCTATGTTTATAGCACACTCTATCTCTGCCGACTTTTGATTATAATGAATGATTTAAGTTCAAATTCAATTCCATTAACAATTTGAATGAATGAATGATTTACCAATTCCATTAACAATTTGAATCAATGATTTAAGTTCAACTCTAATTCACTAACTATTAAATTTTCCATCAGCGTTACCCATCTCTGCGAATCTACAGGATTTAAATTAATATATCTGATATAGTATATTTATACGTTCATACGTACACAGAATGGAATCGTCCCAATTCAGAATCAGGCTGCCCCGGATGAGACGTTTGCAGATTATTTTGACAGAATTGAAACTTTAGAGTTAGAGTTGGCACTTAGAATAAGTAATTTGAATTTTAGTTAGCGTTAGCATAATTTTGGCCAAAACCACAAAATTCTCATTCGGGATAGTCCTGAATTTGAATCGGGACAATTCAAATCCGGGTCACAACATAGCTGGATGCAATATAACATAATATAGCTTTTCTAAAATATAGGTTTAATTAAATTGGTATAAATAATTTAAAATATAAATTTATATTATTTTATATACCCGAAGCAAAGTGAGGGTTAATTGCAAGTTATTTAACATTCTAAATGTAGCAATTGATTAAATAAATCGATCATTCAAATAATGGTGTTTAATATATCATATTACTATCGTGATTTGAAAAAATGTGATTAATATTAATAGAGAATTAACATCCACAATAAGCTTTAATTAGTCTTTTTAAATCCATTTTTAATGATAAAAAAAGACTAATATAAAAAAAAATTTTTTACTATAAAAAAAAAGCCGTGTGGCCGGTATACAATGCGCAGTTTTAAATTTATTGTTGGATAAATCATATATTAATTATTCGAATAACTATATATATTCGAATAATTATAATTATTCAAATATATATAATTATTCGAATAATTATATGTATTTGAATAATTATAATTATTCGATTATTCGAATATTCGGCGAATATTAGTCATTCGGCGAATATTCGACTAGATATTTGCTAAACCTAAGTTATTCGAATATTATTCGAATAAAGATCTGTAAGCTCTAAACCCAACAAATATTGGAGTACGAAAAGTCATTTCTGCTGATATCAGATAACAATTTTAAAAAAATCAATTATGTCGCAAATTGAGGCAAAAAAAAATAATTGAAAAAAATAAAAAAAAATTGAAAAAACTTAAGGGTCGTGCAGAGGCACAGGCCAAATTTA